AATAAGTGTGTGGGGGTTGTATTTGTTTGAGAGTGCCATGTTGCCAGTGATTTACGAGAGGTCAACCGGTGTGTTCGTTGCTTTCCTCCTGTTCATTATTTTTGTAAGTAATGATTGAGAGACTCGGTTTTCATGTTGAGTCTTCATCGCATGTTTTTACATTATGGAGTGCCTATCCAAAACTTGAAATGTAGTTTGCATACAGATGGATAATGTAGAACCTTGTTAAGAGATTCACTTTTGGTATTTATTTTTCTGGTAGACTGCATGCTGTAGTTGAGGTATTTCATGAACTTTCCTGTTTGGCAATTCTTGTCTCTTTGATTTAATGTCCCTTCCAGCTGAGAGGGCTTTAGAGCCTGGAATGTAAGTATGTGTGTTCATAGAGGCATTTGGTGGGACACGTACGTATGTTACAACATGTATTGATTTATGGTTAGAAACAGGGGACACCTACTGCAGTTGATACACATACATGCAGTTAAATCAGATACAACATTTACATGCCCTGCAGTTATAAGATACAACACATATATGCCCTGCAGTTACATCATATATGACACGTCTATGCCCTGCAGTTATAACAAATTCAACACATATATGTGCTGCATTTACATGTGATACGACACATAATGCCCTGCAGATACATCAGATATGACACATATATGCACGCAGTTATAAGATACAACACATATATATGCCCTGCAGTTATAACAAATTCAACACATATATGCCCTGCATTTACATGAGATGCGACACATATATGCCCTGTAGATACATCAGATATGACACATATATGCCCTGCAGTTATATAAAATTCAATACATATATGCCCTGCATTTACATGAGATACGACTCATATATGCCCTGCAGATTCATCAGATATGACACATATATGCCCTGCAGTTATAAGATACAACACATATATATGCCCTGCAGTTATAACAAATTCAACACATATATGCCCTGCATTTACATGAGATACGACACATATATGCCCTGCAGATACATCAGATATGACATATATATGCCCTGCAGTTATGACAAATTCAACACATATATACCCTGCATTTTCATGAGATAAGACACATGTGCCCTGCAGATACATCAGATATGACACATATATGCCCTACAGTTATAACAAAGTCAACACATATATGCCCTGCATTTACATGTGATACGACACATATATGCCCTGCAGTTATAAGATACAACACATATATGCCCTGCAGTTATAAGATACAACACATATATGCCCTGCAGTTATAAGATACAACACATATATGCCCTGCAGTTATAAGATACAACACATATATGCCATGCAGTTATGACAAATTCAACACATATGCCCTGCATTTACATCAGGTACGACACATATATGCCCTGCAGATACATCAGATATGACACTTATATGCCCTGCAGTTATAACAAAGTCAACACATATATGCCCTGCATTTACATCGGATACGACACATATATGCCCTGCAGTTATAACAAAGTCAACACATATATGCCCTGCATTTACATCGGATACGACACATTTATGCCCTGCAGTTATAAGATACAACACATATATGCCGTGCAGTTATAACAAATTCAACACATATGCCCTGCATTTACATGAGATACGGCACATATATGCCCTGCAGATACATCAGATACGGCACATATATGCCCTGCAGATACATCAGATATGACACATATATGCCCTGCAGTTATAAGATACAACAAGTACTGCAGTCACAACATATACAACAGTAACACCATGTGTATTGGATGAGTTTGTTGTAGAGTTCAGTTGAGGATTATCTCCATCAAGTCCATGCCAACAATCAACAGAACTGTGTAATTCAGCTGTCTATGAATCGTTAAACGATGCAGTAAAACTACAAATGTTTTTCTGCAAAGTTATCATGTAATAGTACTCAGCCAAGGTTTGCCCTTGCTACTTGTGTACATTCTGACAAAGAAAACAAACAAGGCAGTTTTCAACTCCATACAATGGTTTAAGCAGATGACTAGGGTTGTGTAGCCAGCAACGACTCCACCATGAGTCCTGTGGCAGTGGATGATGTAATGGGCTCCATCATACTGCTTGCATGTCCAATCACCTGGGCTAACTCTGGTTAAGGTGAGATCTTCTTTTGGGGACTCTAATTAGCTGCAGAATGTTTTTTGTATGTCAGAGCCAACACAGGATGTTTCGGTAAGACTGTGTTTCCATGATGAGGATGAAGGAAGGGTGGGGATGTCCTTGAGCTCGGGTTGTGTTTCTCTGCCATTGCTGCCATCAAACCCTGAACAACTCTCAAGTAATGGAGAGAGTTGGGTTGAATTGACATTTTGGTTTGGTTTCAGTTACTTGAGATGTTTTACAAGTTGTAGTTTGACTTTCGGCATGAATATCCTGCAGTTAAAAAAATACCCAGTTTTGTACTCTTCTCAATAACATATGAAGAAGTCGGTGCAAGGATTTTGGCTGGGGTTGTTCTCTCATTTGCAAGGTTATGATGATCAGAATATCAAACTGTGTTTTGAAAGACCATTTTCAGCCATTCGGTACATGATTCCTTCCTTAATTTCAAACTAAGACTTTCATGTATGTTTGGAGACGTTATTTTTAACAAGTATGTTGCAGCAGAAACTATGGCAAAGCTGAAGTCAAGGTCAAGGCTTAAATGATATGTGCAGTTGATAAAAATCAAAGGGTATTATGAGAGAATGATTATTTATTATAGTAGGGTATGATGCTTCTGAATAGAGGGGATTTAGTGGACGTGTGGATTCATGCACATGTATCTCAGTTTGATGTTGGTAATATGTGCTGTGTGCTGATGTACAATACTGAACTCAATCTGATTGGTTAGAGGTTACAACAGGTTTGACACTTAGCAAGGGTACAACCTGACTAGTCCGGACTGATGCCGATTTATGGTGCTAGCTCACTGAGACACCATGCTGCAGTTTAACATGAATATCCCACTCAGACACAGTATACTGACTCTGAGCCGACCAGCCCTTGTTTTACGCCCTTAATGCCGAGCGCCAGACAGGGTAACAACAAGTACCATTTTTAACGTCTTGTGGTATGACGTGGCTGGGTATCGAACCCCAGACCTTCCGCTCTCCGGGCGGATGCTCTACCACTAGACCACGGAGGCAGTGGCAGGTATAACAGATACAACACATATTACCATGTGTATCGGAATACATTGTTTGTTTGCAATATTCTACCTATATGATGACGGTCTAAAAATAATCAAATCTGGACCAGACAGTCCAGTGATTGACATCATGAGCATCAATTGGGATATGATGACATGCTTCAACCAAGTCAGCGAACCTGACAAATCGATCCCGTTCGTCGCCTACTACAACAAGCATAGTTGTCTTTTATGGCAAGCATGGGTTGCTGAAGATCTAAGCTACCCCGGATCTTCACTGGTCAGGAATACATTAAAGTATGGAAAAACTTGGCATGTAAATCAATAAACACTTCAATTATTAACTAAGTGGTAAGGATGAAACAAAATAGAACCAACTGTTCTACTTCCTACTTTTCTATCATTATCCCCCGCCGCGCGAAAGCGCGAAGCGGGGGATATAGTATTCACGACTGTCCATACGTCCGTACGTCCGTCCGTACGTCCCACCTGTTTGTTGCCGCGATATCTCAAGAACTAAACACTGGATTGTCTTCATATTTGGAACTATGGTGTATATACAGACTCCGCAGACACCAGTCGGTTTTGGTGACCTTGATCCCATTTTCAAGGTCACAGCAGACAAATCTGCTTTTAGAGTTGGAAAACGGTGTTGCCGCGATATCTCAAGAACTAAACACTGGATTGTCTTCATATTTGGAACTATGGTGTATATACAGACTCCGCAGACACCAGTCGGTTTAGGTGACCTTGATCCCATTTTCAAGGTCACAGCAGACAAATCTGCTTTTAGAGTTGGAAAACGGTGTTGCCGCGATATCCCAAGAACTAAACACTGGATTGTCTTCATATTTGGAACTATGGTGTATATACAGACTCCGCAGACACCAGTCGGTTTTGGTGACCTTGACCCCATTTCCAAGGTCACAGCAGGCAAATCTGCTTTTGGAGTTGGAAAACGGTGTTGCCGCGATATCTCAAGAACTAAACACTGGATTGTCTTCATATTTGGAACTTTGGTGTATATACAGACACCGCAGACACCAGTCGGCTTTAGTGACCTTGACCCCATTTTCAAGGTCACAGCAGGCAAATCTGCTTTTGGAGTTGGAAAACGGTGTTGCCGCGATATCTCAAGAACTAAACACTGGATTGTCTTCATATTTGGAACTATGGTGTATATACAGACACCGCAGACACCAGTCGGTTTTGGTGACCTTGACCCCATTTTCAAGGTCACAGCAGGCAAATCTGCTTTTGGAGTTAGAAAACGGTGTTGCCGCGATATCTCAAGAACTAATTGCTGGTTTGTCTTCATATTTGGAACTATGGTGTATATACAGACACCGCATACACCTGTCAGATTTGGAGACCTTAACCCCATTTTCAAGGTCACAGCAGGCAAATCTGTTTTTGGAGTTGGAAAACGGTGTTGCCACAATATCTCAAGAACTAATCGCTGGATTGTCTTCATATTTGGTACTATGGTGTATATACAGGCGGGGGATATTTCGTCACTCTGTGACAAATACTTGTTTTATTTAAGGTGTGATGGACAAAAATGGATATAAATATCTATTAATGAATCTTTAGTTTATTATTGGAAGTATTTGTTTACGAAAATGTCTGTGTTTTAGATAATATTGTGTGTGTTTTAGATAATATTGTGTGTGTTTTGGATAACATTTTGTGTGTCTTAGTTCATCTGCAGCATTTTTATTACAGGATTATGCTTCATAAACCAGTTGAGCACAAACCCACATGCTTCCTTGTTTGATTATTGGTGTAATGAGTTTGACCGTTTCCAATTGATATATTTCTCTGTGCGTTTTTCAGGACAAACGATACCATATTGTGGAAGAAATTTACCGCAACGAAAAAGAATATGTAGAGGCCCTCAAGACACTCAAAGATGTAAGTACTTCAGTGTTATGTATTGTATGTCTCCGCACTTGTCATCATTATAATAACCCAACAAAGCGCCCACAGCTCTGTCATTGCACATGTCTCTTGCTGTACTGGGGGCAGTCACCAGTTGCCCATGGTGCCGCACTTGTCATCATTATAATAACCCAACAAAGCACCCACAGCTCTGTCATTGCACATGTCTCTTGCTGTACTGGGGGCAGTCACCAGTTGCCCATGGTGCCGCACTTGTCATCATTACAATAACCCAACAAAGCGCCCACAGCTCTGTCATTGCACATGTCTCTTGCTGTCCTGGGGGCAGTCACCAGTTGCCCATGGTGCCGCACTTGTCATCATTACAATAACCCAACAAAGCGCCCACACTTTGTCATTGCACATGTCTCTTGCTGTCCTGGGGGCAGTCACCAGTTGCCCATGGTGCCGCACTTGTCATCATTACAATAACCCAACAAAGCGCCCACAGCTCTGTCATTGCACATGTCTCTTGCTGTACTGGGGGCAGTCACCAGTTGCCCATGGTGCCGTACTTGTCATCATTATAATAACCCAACAAAGCGCCCACAGCTCTGTCATTGCACATGTCTCTTGCTGTACTGGGGGCAGTCACCAGTTGCCCATGGTGCCGCACTTGTCATCATTATAATAACCCAACAAAGCACCCACAGCTCTGTCATTGCACATGTCTCTTGCTGTCCTGGGGGCAGTCACCAGTTGCCTATGGTGCCGTACTTGTCATCATTACAGTAACCCAACAAAGCAGCCACAGCTCTGTCATTGCACATGTCTCTTGCTGTACTGGGGGCAGTCACCAGTTGCCTATGGCGCCAGGGTGTGAGTCAAGTCATCAGCATTCGCAGTTTGGCCAGGAACCTAATGATGGTCATTGGTTCCTTCCCATCGCTAAGCTTGTAGTTATTGTTCAGGTTCTAAGGAAACTGCTTGGCACTTATTTTCAGAATATAGTAAGGTAACACCTATCTGGCAGGAACTTCAAAATTGGCTTCAAGATTGAATTGAATTAAGATTTAAGTTTTCCAGGCAAAAAGTTCTTCTTGGTCTTTGTCACAGAAATAATGATAAAAAAATGCAATTCAAATTCTTTTTAATTGTGTCATAATTCAAGTATACATCCACTAAACTTATACAAATTTTACAGTTCTTGCAACAGGAATGTTACAAATGCTATGTCCTTGTTACAGACTGTTCAGCCATCTTATGTTCCTGAATTAACTACTTTTATGAATTTTGGTCATTGTGTCATAATAGTGCTCTGTCTTAATGACATGAATGTTTAGTGATGTTACTGTCTGGTTAAGTTTGCAAGTTTGTTGATTTTTGTAGCTAAGAAGATAGATGCCCATGAGCAGTGCAGGTAATTGGGTGAGATGCATACAAATTATGTTGCTAAAAGCAACTTGTGTCCTACGAGGGGAGATGTGGCAGGGTACTTGTTACAAATTACATCACTAGGAGCAGCTTGTCTCCTACACGGGGAGAGATGTGACAGGTTACTTGTTACAAATAACATCACTAGGAGCAGCTTGTTTCCTACACGGGGAGAGATGTGGCAGGGTACTTGTTACAAATTACATCACTAAGAGCAGCTTGTTTCCTACACGGGGAGAGATGTGGCAGGGTACTTGTTACAAATTACATCACTAGGAGCAGCTTGTCTCCTACACGAGGAGAGATGTGGCAGGGTACTTGTTACAAATTACATCACTAGGAGCAGCTTGTTTCCTACACGAGGAGAGATGTGGCAGGGTACTTGTTACAAATTACATCACTAGGAGCAGCTTGTTTCCTACACGAGGAGAGATGTGGCAGGGTACTTGTTACAAATTACATCACTAGGAGCAGCTTGTTTCCTACACGAGGAGAGATGTGGCAGAGTACTTGTTACAAATTACATAACTAGGAGCAGCTTGTCTCCAACACGAGAGATGTGGCAGAGTACTTGTTACAAATTACATCACTAAGAGCAGCTTGTTTCCTACACGGGGAGAGATGTGGCAGGGTACTTGTTACAAATTACATCAAAATCTGCTGGTGGATCTCAGCACAGGAGGGGGCACAGGTGGCCCAGTCGTCTAAGGCGCCGCGATTCACTGTGCAGAGTTGCGTCCCTTGGACACGCCAGAAACCTATGATTGTGGGTTCGAATCCCGGTTTGCCCCGATTATGTTTCTAGGTTTGTCAGCACCATACCCGTGCTCGTGGGTTTCACCAAAGTGGTAAACGTCTGATACCTGCATCACTTCAGGCTTTCCTCCCACATTAAGCTGACACGCCGCGATATAACTGTAATACTGTTAAAAGCGGGGTTAAACCCTACTCACTCACTCACTCAGCACAGGATAATGATCATTGAGGTTACTTTGTGTCAACTTCAGATAGCCTCCAGAATTAACGTGTGCTCATGGGTTTCACAGAAGTGGTAAACATCTGAGACCTGCATCACTTTGGGCTTTCCTCCCACTTAAGCTGACACGCCATGATATACCGTATTCGACGTAATAAGCGCCCCGCTCTAATAAGCGCCCACGGCGATATTTGCTGGTATATTGGCCAGTAAACAATCCCAATTAGCACCCCTTCCGATTGATCAATGTACACAAGACTTATTTATTCGTGCATATGCACACTCGTGTGGTATATGCACCCTTAATTATGGGCAATTAAATTCTGGAAAAATATATCTGTCGTACATAAACATTTCAGGCTGTCACCATAAACCACGAAATTTATCTTTCAACCCAAATAATATTCTAATAAGAGCCCCCTATTTCTAATTTTGAGAGCGCCCTGGGCGCTTATTACGTCGAATACGGTAACTGGAATATTTTTAAAAGCCATGTTAAACCCAAATCACTCACTCACTCACTCCAAATATAACATGAACACTACTTAGCTGTTAGACTCAGTTGTCAATTCTGTGTGCCAGAATACAACTTATACCATACAACATATTATGCTCGGATGCCCACAAAGAAAAAACAACCCTTTAAATATGATACTAATATAATACAAACAACTAATATTGAAATATAGAATCACAAGACAAATTCCAACTCTCCAGTTCCTACAGTGAGAATTGTATCAATATTATGTCATAATAAGCTCAAGATTGGATGATTTTTTTCACAAATTCCTGTTTTCCTTTCATCTCTTGTTCAATAAAAATATTTAAAAAACGACATTTGTGTGCCCTGACATCTTGATGGTGATTCGGAGGCAGTTGATTCTGAATGTAAAACTATACAGTCACCCCATCCCGCTCAACAGACGCGAAACATTCTAAAAAGTTGAAATTCTTGAAGCACCTCACACCAAACCCCATCCTTCAATCTTCTTCACCTGTGTGTAAGACCCTACAGCAGTCTTTGCGAAAAACGTTTGAGACATACCAGCCTGAACATGGCTCTTAGCATCATTTTCAGTAGATTTTAGTGTTATGTCAGCTATTATTGACTGAGCTTACTAGACCGAACAGACTTTTACTGGACTCGGCCTTTAGACTAGTAGCTAATGTAGCATGAAGTCTTCCCAAAATAATGTGAAACCATTTGAACGTCCTACTCCGCTCCGATTATAATTGTGGCACCCTCAAACAAACTTTCAGGTTCTTGAAAGCTCATACCTTTATACCTCATTCACTGTGTGAAATGCACAGTGACACAATGAATGCACCCAGTTTAAACCTCCTCAACAGTGTGAAACACACAGTAAGACAATGATAAACCCCCAGTTCAAACCTCAACAGTGTGAAACAGCCAGTAAGACAATGAAAAAAACCTTTTTTAACCTCCTCAATAGTGTGAAACACCCAGTAAGACAATGAAAAAACCCCAGTTTAAACCTCCTCAACAGTGTGAAACACCCAGTAACACAATGAAAAAAACCCAGTTTAAACCTCCTCAACAGTGTGAAACACCCATTAAGACAATGAAAAAAACCCAGTTTAAACCTCCTCAACAGTGTGAAACACACAGTAAGACAATGAAACCCCCCCCAGTTTAAACCTCAACAGTGTAAAACACACAGTAAGACAATGTTAACCCCCCAGTGCAAACCTCAACAGTGTGAAACAGCCAGTAAGACAATGAAAAAAAACTTTTTTAACCTCCTCAATAGTGTGAAACACCCAGTAAGACAATGAAAAAACCCCAGTTTAAACCTCCTCAACAGTGTGAAACACCCAGTAAGACAATGAAAAAACCCCAGTTTAAACCTCCTCAACAGTGTGAAACACACAGTAAGACAATGAAAAAAACCCAGTTTAAACCTCCTCAACAGTGTGAAACACCCAGTAAGACAATGAAAAAAACCCAGTTTAAACCTCCTCAACAGTGTGAAACACACAGTAAGACAATGAAACCCCCCCAGTTTAAACCTCAACAGTGTAAAACACCCAGTAAGACAATGAAAAAAACCCAGTTTAAACCTCAACAGTGTGAAACACACAGTAAGACAATGAACCCCCCCCAGTTTAAACCTCAACAGTGTAAAACACCCAGTAAGACAATGAAAAAAACCCAGTTTAAACCTCCTCAACAGTGTGAAACACACAGTAAGACAATGAAACCCCCCCAGTTTAAACCTCAACAGTGTAAAACACCCAGTAAGACAATGAAAAAACCCCAGTTTAAACCTCCTCAACAGTGTGAAACACCCAGTAAGACATTGAAAAACCCCAGTTTAGACCTCAACAGTGTGAAACACACAGAAAGACAATGAAAACCCCCCAGTTTAAACCTCAACAGTGTGAAACACACAGTAAGACAATGAAAACCCCCCAGTTTAAACCTCAACAGTGTGAAACACACAGTAAGACAATGACCCCCCAGTTTAAACCTCCTCAACAGTGTGAAACACACAGTAAGACAATGAAAACCCCCCAGTTTAAACCTCCTCAACAGTGTGAAACACACAGTAAGACAATGAAAACCGCCCAGTTTAAACCTCCTCAACAGTGTGAAACACAC